TGCAACTTTGTGTATGTGTGTCTTTCAGAAAAATATTTATGACGAGTTGAAAACATATAATGTCATTCGTTTTTCTCCCCACTGCTGCTCCAAAACCAATGAAAAACGGCTCTGATTTTCATCGACTTTAGGTCGGTCTGGAGCGTTTTTAAGGAAAAGTATTAATCCTACCGTAATTCTGAAGACATTGTGTGAGTCCAGAGGTTTCAGCCTACAAACTGACCAAAAATGGTGACTCTAGCTATAAATATGTGGCCGTGAGGGCGATTTTAAAATGTTTTTTGGTCTTAAAAAAACGGCTGCCTCACACTCTAGCTTTTCAGTCTCTCCACTCTAGAAGGGTGGATTTTGCTAAAACTTTGTGGCGCTTGAGGTCTGATTATACAAAAACCGTAGCAGTTATCAACATACCGTCTTCAGTTTTAAATAGACGAAGGATTTATATACAAACTGAGCTTTAAACTGTTTTTCTACATGAATGTATGCCGACACAGTGAGGTGCTGTTTTTTATGCTTTTTTTCCCTCTCCCCATTCATTTCCTATGGGATTTTTTTTGCGACGTTTTCGCTAATAATTCGCAAACCTTCGGACTAATGAGAAAGTTTTATACAAGCACGCATCGCACCATTGGTCCCTACGCGTGTGCCAACTTTGGGCCCGATCCGACGAATGGTGCGTGACTAGTTACACGCCGAAGTTTTTAGGGGACGAGGAGAACTATAAGCTATAATAATAATACGCGGAATAAATATGTGCAATAGTAATAGGTGGGCCATGCCTTCGGCATGTGGCCCCCCTAATAATAATAAGAAACTTTCGAAATACAATAGGCTCTTGCAGCCTTCGCTGCTCGGGCCTAATAAAATAAAAAAATAAAATCAGAGCAGTATGTTAAAACACATTGAGCATCTCAAGAAAAACAAGCACATATCTCCATCACTACATTCTTCATGGTTGCTTTAAATTCATTAATGGACACCAGAGTTTCTAATTGGAGCTCTTTCTGGAGGTTATTCCATCCCCGAGGTGCAGAGTAGGAGAATGCAATTTTTCCCAACTCAGTTGAAGCTCGGGGTACATTAAAAAGTAACCACTGAGAGGTGGTGCATTGACTTTATCCTTGACTGTAGAAAAACAGGAAGTGGAATTAGCTAACTAGTATTGGAGCGAGGTTTTGATGACTCTGTTGCAATCGGGCAGGTTGCACTTTATCATATTGGCTAATATTAGCGATGGTGCATGAGAGAGAAAGGGAGAGAAACGCTATTCAGGAAGGGAACCTCTGATGGGTCATGTGAGGTAAATGTCTGCTATGTCAAAATGGATTTGTGAAATGTGTCCATGTCCTCGTCAGCACACCTACTTATTTTTTTTTTTTTAAACATAAAAAAAACACTTTAAGCGATGAAAATAAACAATTTTGTGAATTTTTTTAAAGCTGAATCCAATTTCGCCTTATCCTTGAAGCTCTTCTAATGCCATACTTCAGGATGCACGTGAGACGTCTGTTGATAAGACTGCTGTACCTTAGGTGCTCTAAGGAGCGTTAACGCATATCTTTCCATCCTAGCGCGTTTAGACTTGATAAAAACTCCTTTGCTGGGATCAGACAGATCTGCTGTTAATTATTACATCATTTTTTCATATTTCAAATCACCGCGTTCAACCGCACACTTCATTTGATCTGAGTTTGCAGTTTTTAATGTGTTTTTGCTACTGTTGGTTATTTAAAACACCTGAATGTTCCCACTGTGGGACAACAGCGGATTGCTAATAATTAGGTTCCCGCTAAGGAAGGGGGGGGACAAGGTGCTATAAATGTTTTATTTTATTGTCGCTGTGATGATTCTCCTTCTCAGAGGAGGGAGCAGTAGTCACCATCGATGTCAGCCTGGCCTACAGAGATGATTTATACAGCGAGTGGACAGAGATGGCTCGTTCGTTTGAACGGAGGAACCTAAACTGCAAGTTCTCATTTGAGAAGGTAAAAAATTGTTTTGGTGTTAGGTGACGTTTTTTTCTTTTATGCTTTCCAAGATTTTCTAGAAATTGTTGTCAAATCTTTAAATTTTTGATCCCCTTTGCTATTTTCATCATATTTTCTGGTTTAGAGCAGATTTTAACAACATAAGCTCCATTTACACTACCATCTGAAAACCAATCCGTGCAGAGCTTGGTTCCTTAAAGGAATAGTACACCCAAAACATGATTAGCCTTCATTTTCTACTCACCCCCATGCTGAACAACACTCTGGAGTACTTTTTTGATATCTCAAATGCATCTGGAGATCTGGGAGGCTTCTTGCTGTCTGCTGACATTCAAATAATGGAGGTCTATGGCGCCCGAGGCAGAAAGGTCCATAAAAGTCCACAAAAAACGTGTCAATATTCCTCCATACTGCTCGTCCAATGTATTCCAAGTGTCCTGAGTGGGTAGCGTCCATAATTTACTCGAAACAAAGTCATTTAGAATGTTTTTAGAGCATAAACAGTAGTGTATAGGATTTCCTAAAAGCGCGTTCACGAGTCTACGGAAACAGCGGCAGACCAAACCAGATGAAAGTGCGCATTCAGCTCGGCAAAGAACTCATGCTCTTCCTCAACACTGAAGTCCTCAGACATTTTTCTTTCGTTGTTTCTTTCTTTGCACAGGTAAACGGCACATTTCTTCTTCTACGCTTGCATTATCGGCAGAGCAGACGCTGAATGCGCACTTTCGTCTGGTTTGGTCTGCCGCGGTTTCCGTAGACTCGTGAACGCGCTTTTAGGAAATCCTATACACTACTGTTTATGCTCTAAAAACATTCTAAATGACTTCGTTTCGAGTAAATTATGGACGCTACCCACTCAGGACACTTGGAATATATTGGACGAGCAGTATGGAGGAATATTGACACGTTTTTTGTGGACTTTTATGGACCTTTCTGTCTCGGTCACCATAGACCTCCATTATTTGAATGTCAGCAGACAGCAAGAAGCCTCCCAGATCTCCAGATGCATTTGAGATATCAAAAAAGTACTCCAGAGTGTTGTTCAGCATGGGGGTGAGTAGAAAATGAAGGCTAATCATGTTTTGGGTGTACTATTCCTTTAAGTCTTCCAGCAGTTTAGTCCTATAGCAGCATAACTATAGAGATAACTCAGAATAATCTGAGCCCCTCTACCTATGAGCTCTATCAAAAATTAAATTTTAAGCCCATCCTTAAAAGTATACAGGATGTCAGCCTCATGGACTAAAAGTTGAGCTGTTTCCACCCTTTTAACCCTCTACTGTGTCTTTTTTTTGTTTTCCAGAACTTGGGGAGCCAGGACCGTCAGTATGAATGTGACCCCCTGCCTTTCATGGAGGTGGGGAGTGTTGCTCATAAATACTATCTCGTCAACATCCGCCTGCCGGTCAACGAGCGCAAGAAGGTTAATATTGGGATTGGAGAGATCAAAGACATTCATCTTGTGGTCAGTTGGTCAAAAGATTCTTCTTGATATGTTTTTATTGTGGTGTTGGCATTGAAAAGAATGTATAAAACCCAGTTCAAATGCTAAATGTAGAATGCATTTTATTTTCTCTGAAGAGCATCCATCAGAACGGAGGTTTCACTAAGGTTTGGTTTGCCATGAAGACTTTCCTCACTCCCAGCATCCTCATCATAATGATCTGGTACTGGAGACGGATCACCCTCATGACCCGACCGCCTGTCCTTCTGGAAAAGTAAGGCTTCTCTTGGCAAAGAACGAGTTGGACTCGAACAGAAATATTATTTAGTGAGAGTTACAGTTTATTGAAGAGAAACATCTGTGCATCTTTTGTCACTTTAAAATCACAGACTTCTTTTATTCATTATTAAGAGACTTGCCTTTTAAAAAAACGAAAACATGACAGATCACAAATCCTTTTTGTTTTTTTTAGTTCCTTATCCCAGACATTTTAATATCTATAATCAGTAGTCTAGTTGTGTTTAAAAAAAAAAGAAAAAAAAAAAAAGAAAAAAAAGATGGGATTGTGGATGGTTAGCATGGCTATCGCCACCCCTACATGGTTAGCACGGCTATCGCCGCCCCTACACTGTTAGCACGGCTATCGCCGCCCCTACACTGTTAGCACGGCTATCGCCACCCCTACACTGTTAGCATGGCTATCGCCACCCCTACATGGTTAGCATGGCTATCGCCACCCCTACACTGTTAGCATGGCTATCGCCGCCCCTACATGGTTAGCATGGCTATCGCCGCCCCTACATGGTTAGCATGGCTATCGCCGCCCCTACATGGTTAGCATGGCTATCGCCGCCCCTACATGGTTAGCATGGCTATCGCCACCCCTACACTGTTAGCACGGCTATCGCCACCCCTACACTGTTAGCACGGCTATCGCCACCCCTACACTGTTAGCACGGCTATCGCCACCCCTACACGGTTAGCACGGCTATCGCCGCCCCTACACTGTTAGCACGGCTATCGCCGCCCCTACACTGTTAGCACGGCTATCGCCGCCCCTACACTGTTAGCACGGCTATCGCCGCCCCTACACTGTTAGCACGGCTATCGCAGCCCCTACACTGTTAGCACGGCTATCACCGCCCCTACATGGTTAGCACGGCTATCGCTGCCCCTACACTGTTAGCATGGCTATCGCTGCCCCTACACTGTTAGCATGGCTATCGCTGCCCCTATAGGGTTAGCATGGCTATCGCTGCCCCTACAGGGTTAGCATGGCTATCCCTGCCCCTACAGAGTTAGCATGGCTATCACTGCTCTCACATGGTTAGCATGGCTATCACTGCTCCACAGAGTTAGCATGGCTATCACTGCTCTCTCATGGTTAGCATGGCTATCACTGCTCCACAGAGTTAGCGTGGCTATCGCTGCCCCTACAGAGTTAGCATGGCTATCACTGCTCTCTTATGGTTAGCATGGCTATCACTGCCCCTACAGGGTTAGCATGGCTATCACTGCCCCTACAGGGTTAGCATGGCTATCACTGCCCCTACAGGGTTAGCATGGCTATCACTGCCCCTACAGGGTTAGCACGGCTATCGCCGCCCCTACACTGTTAGCACGGCTATCGCCATCCCTACACTGTTAGCATGGCTATCGCGACCCCTACACTGTTAGCATGGCTATCGCTGCTCTCACATGGTTAGCATGGCTATCGCTGCTCCACAGAGTTAGCAGAGTTAGCGTGGCTATCGCTGCCCCCACAGAGTTAGCGTGGCTATCGCTGCCCCCACAGAGTTAGCGTGGCTATCACTGCTCCACAGAGTTAGCGTGGCTATCGCTGCCCCTACAGAGTTAGCGTGGCTATCGCTGCCCCACAGAGTTAGCGTGGCTATCACTGCTCCACAGAGTTAGCATGGCTATCGCTGCCCCCACAGAGTTAGCATGGCTATCGCTGCCCCTACAGAGTTAGCGTGGCTAACACTGCCCCCACAGAGTTAGCGTGGCTATCGCTGCCCCTACATAGTTAGGGATTAATTTCCCACTGGGATCATGGAAGGACACTCCTTTGATTGCTAAATGTTAGCGGGCTGTGCTATATTTTTGCTGGTAATATATAGTATAAATTTTATAGTCAGTAATAAAATGTAACAGGGGATGGTGTGGGGGGGATGGTCATTTAAGAAGGGGGATTCCCCCCACCCCCAACTCGAGTACTGTCTATAATATTGGGCAGATTTGCCTTTTATAAGTGCTTTAAATGTTGTTTTGATATTAATCTGAAGCTGTAGTGTTGTCGTAACGTCCCGCTGTGCTGGGACGATGGATCAGTAAAGAGGCTGCAATCTGTGCTGCAGGAGGCAGCTGACGAAGCGTGAAACGTGTTACGAAATCTAGCAGCACTCAACGGATGCACGCTGCACATGAATTTCCTTAGAACAGCTACACACACCAGCCAACCAGAAACCAAATCTACCCCCATCACACACACAGCTACATGCCAAGTGTCTCTCTCCATCCCACTTGTTTTTTTCCAGCTCAGGGATTTTATTCCCAGAGGACCAGCGAGCTCTTAAGATGTGTGACTTGTCATGGCCTATTTTATGGATAGCAGATTATTTTTTCATGCTTTAAAAGCTTTACCAAAGGTTCCTGCCATGCTGACCCTCTGAGGCATCAAGATGGTAAACCTCAGATTCCCTTTTAAACTTCAGAGTGATGTGAGGGGAACTTGCTTTGGTTAAAATTACTTGATGTTCAAAATAAATACATAAAAATGTCTTTGTTAGAAGAATGGATGTATTTAAAAGCTCAGACATACTAAACATACCCAAGTGGGCCTCAGCAGATGGCCGCTCACACTGAGCCTGGTTCTGCTGGAGGTTCCTTCCTGTTAAAAGGGAGTTTTTCCTCTCCACTGTCGCTACAAGCATGCTTAGTGTGAGGGATTGCTGAAGAGTCAATGAGTCGATGCAATCAGCTGGTTTTCCTTAGATAGAAAAGTTTGAATCAATCTGACTGGATGATCTGGTGAACTGCAGATGGGCTAGCGTTAGCTTTGGGCTAACGTTAGCCCAAAGCTAACGTTAGCCCTGGCTGCTGTTAACCTCGGAGGTTCGCTGGTTCGCACGGTCCTCTCAACTTCCTAACTTTTTTAAAAATTACACACTAAAGCAGTAAATGGCTCATATAGTGACGCTTAAAGGAGTTGTTAAAGGGAATTGCTGGCCTAACTGAACAGGCGAGGTCTTCAGTTCCCCTGCATGGGGGTGGGGAGCCGCGATGATGGTGGGAAGGAATCGACCCTGTCTCTTCATAGGAAGTGATTAAAGCAAATCCATATTTGAGGGCCTGTGTTTTCTCTGAATATCATGCAGGTCACACTTCGCTGCTCGGTTTCTTGCATTCACTGCATACTGACAATCAGAAGACATGGAAACCTTTCTTCACTGCTTTTATCGACTTTGTTCTGTTCACCCATAAACCTAACGATACGCAACAACTGTGGTTCACCTACATGCTGCGGCATTCCAGGCGTGACATCATGTTGGAACTATCTATACTTCTACCCCTTTCTTGCTGTGGGGCAGCCTTTTGGCTCGATAAGCACTTTGCTTTTCAAACAAACTTATCTTCTCAGCAAAAGCCTCAAAGTCATTGTGTTGTAAAATGTTGTAAATACCGTGCTTCTCACAGGAGAGTGTTAGCTGGGCGGGTGTTAAGGGTCATTCTGAGGCAGGAACAACAACTGAAAGAGGGGGGGTAATGAAGGTGTATCATGACATAAAGTTGAATCAAGAGTCTTATATTAAAACATAATGGAATTTAAAACCTAATATGCAGCTAAAATAGAAATAAAATATGAAAGGAACTTAGTTGTACAGCAGGAGAAATAAGGATCTTTTAAAAATACCAGAAAAAGTTAAAAACAATCCATTTGCTTCCAAGTTTGAAGACGTTTCTCTTCCATCCAGGAAGATTTTTCAATTCAAAATGTCAGAAATAATGTTGAGTTCCAGGTTTTATCCAGCAGCCCAACAAAGCCTTCTTTTAGTTCTGAAAACATGCAAATAGAAACGGATGAACGGACGAAAAGCCTTCACACTAAGCATGCTTGTAGCGACAGTGGAGAGGAAAAACTCCCTTTGAACAGGAAGAAACCTCCAGCAGAAGCAGGCTCAGTGTGAGCGGCCATCTGCTGAGGCCCACTGGGGTATATATTAGGGATGCACGATATAATCGGCCCCCTATCGGTATCGGCCTTAAAACTGAATATCGGACATCGGCCACCCCACCGATATTTAACCCGATATTTGATCAGCTTCTGAGTTTCTAAAGTCTTAAAAAAAAAAAAAAAATTACTACTTCTTCTTCTTCCTCAAAAACTTCTTTTTTACAGACTTAAAAACTTCTAAAGACGAGGGAAAAAATATTGACACATTAAAATATCCCAATATCTTCATATGCTGATATATTGCCATTTAAAAACACCATATCAATCTCTTTTACTAATGAAATATTGCTATATGTCATCGTTATGCTACGAAATCCCCCGAAAATTCACGAAATGTTGCCAGATTTTTATATGTTGATATATTGACGCGGTATCGCTCTATTTTACTAACAAAATCTCACAAGAATTTGCAAAATATCACGAGAGTTTGTAACAGAACGATGAAATTTCGCGAGATTTTGAAAGTAAAATAGATCGATACCGCGTTTTTAAAAATCTATTTGATATCAGCATATGAAAATATATTTGAGTATATTATTTTTCAAAGTGTCAGAAATGGATAACAAAACTGCTATTTTCAATGACTACTTATTTTTGTCCAGCTTTAACATCGGTATCTATCGGTTATCGGCTACATGAGCTTTAAAATATCGGCATATCGGATATCGGCCAAAATCCCAATATCGTGCATCCCTAGTATGTATAATATGTCTGAGCTTTTACATACATGCCTGTCTTTGCCAAGGGCCCCAAATGTCTTAAATAAGCCCCTGGGCGGCACAACAGGTTGTCGGTTAGAGGATATTGCTCTCTTACATTAAACTGTGCTGCATTTAATAAAAGAAATAATGGGCTGAAAACATTTTACACCAAATTTAAATTCATCTAAAAACAGAAGGCACGTGTCAGGAGGTCGTTTTGTCACTGCAGTAGGATGAGGTCAGAACTCATAGAGTCCGTCGTTATTTAACCAACCTGCTGTTCAGCTTGGCCTCCTGTTGAAATGCTGAGCATCATAAAGATGAGAAACGGATGTCAGACGCCATTTTGGCTACATTCACACTGCAGCCTGAAGTGACCCAAATCCGATTTTTTTATTTATTTTTTTTGGCCCACATGTATCAGATCCTTTCATGACAGCCTGAACGACGCAGATCCATTTTCTTCCAATGCGACCCAGGCCACTTGGCTCTTAGCCTGGGTGCCATTCCGAACTTAGTCCCGCCCACAACGTTTGAGGTCGGGAAGTTCGGTCTGGCATTGCTCAATAGTAGCGCGAGTATGCTAGCACAATATCTGGCGGGCCAATCAAACTGTCAGGGCGGGCTTTATACGATGTTGGACAGATGATCAACAGTAACGTAATCAACCACGTCTCCAAAGCGTGCTTGGGTGACAACAACAATGGCTGCCGCTGGAGAGTTGAGGTGAGTAGATTCTGCTATTAGGTCTGTTCTAGAAGATATCGACAGCAAATTAATTTTAAAAGAGGAACAGAGAAACGCGATCAAGGCATTTGTTGGAAAGAAAGATTTATCAATGTATGTCGCTTAACATACGTCACGCACTCCGTTGCTCTTATTGGTTGTAGGTCTATCCAATTGAGTGCAGAGGCATTTTTCTTCCTGGTTCGTTCGAAACACGCCCCATAATCACAGCTCTATGGAGCAGCATCAGACTCAGATTCTGACTAGAATTGAGTCGGACTACGTCAGGCTACTTGGCTCTGTGGTCCTGATACGAATCGGATCTTTTCAAATGCGACCTGTGTCTGAACGGCCAGGTCGCATTTATCTGACCTAAGCGCCATTAATACCAGACAAAGGTCACTTTCCTGGGTCTTGCTGTGAAGAAGCGGCAAGAAAAACAACAACCATAGCGGAAGATGATGCAGAGAGCAGTTTTTATGTTTAACCATCTTGAAAAGATTGTGTTTTTAAGGTTGGCAAAGACCTCTAGATGTTCTCCAGCGCTACCATCCATGTTTACTTCTGTAAACACAGAGCACGCTGGCCTGTGATGTCATGGACTTGTTAAATGAGGAATTTATGTCCCCTAAAAAAGCCGTTGCGCCACCGTGGCTTCCTCACGGTTCTTTTCCTGGGAGCAAGTTACTTACTACCAGAGATGGCAAAAGTACTCACTTTCCGTACTTGAGTAAAAGTACAGGTACTTGTGTAAAAAAATACTCTGGTAAAAGTGGAAGTACTGATTAAACTTCTTTACTCCAGTAAAAGTAACAAAGTACAGGCTTGTAAATTTACTTAAAGTATAAAAGTAAAAGTAGAAACCACTTTTTTCATGCCGTTGCCTACATTTTAAATGGATGTCTGCCAATAGGACTAGATCTCCGTTGTGTTCATTTTCAATCATCTCGTCGTCCATGCTACTATGCTAACGCCACCGCCACCTAGCTGCAATGATTTGCCGCCAATGAATCCCGCCGAATCTGTCGATTCATCTTGTAGTGGTGCGTCAAATGCAACGTAGATTCCCATCCAATTAGACTGAATTTGGTATTGATGACGTGAAAAATAATAACGGTAACTCCATTGAAATGATTCAAAACTAAAGTAACGAGCCAATTTTTAAACATGTAAGGAGTAGAAAGTACAGATATTTGTGTAAGAATGTAAGGAGTAGAAGTAAAAAGTCGCCATAAAAATAAGTAGTAAAGTAAAGTAAAAATATCAGAAAAATCTACTTGAGTACAGTAACGAAGTATTTGTACTTCGTTACTTCCCATCTCTGCTTACTACTCTTAACTCAAACTGGGTAAAACCATATAAAAAGGACTATAAAACAGGAGTAAAAAAGTAACAAGAGTTTAATCCAGATCAGGTCGTTACAGGACAGAGAAAATGCTTGGAGCTTGCACAGCTGTGGGCTCAAAAATCACGTCCGCGAGCGTCCGGCAAAGATTGAGCCCCGAACAAGGTCATCTTCTCCTTCTTATAGCTCATGAGTCTATGTGTTGCATCAGGTCCATATCAGAAACTGACCCGCCATCCATGCCCAAGGATTACAGATAGTTCTCCTCTATCAGACCGGCTCCAAGATGTGCCCATATCCTGTGTATCTTTAAAAGACAAGAAAGCTGTCCTATTTAGATGACCTCCTTACACACAGTGACCTTCTACTCTGTCTATCTGGCTAACAAAATAACAATGCACATGATGTATAAAGCATAAACCTAACAGACTTCATGATGTATGACTTCAGTTCACACAGGAGATCATATAGAAGTCTTATATATTTGGATATGTGAACGGCAACGCATAAAAATCGTAATTGAGCCTTAAGACCTGCAGTGTGAACGTAGCCTCTGATCGTCTAAAATCTGGTTACCAGGGAGGAACGCCATCTTAATAAAAAGCGTATATTTTTTTTTGTTTCTATCAGGGTCATCTTCGCTCTGGGCATCTCCATGACCTTCATCAACATCCCGGTGGAGTGGTTCTCTGTTGGCTTTAACTGGACCTGGATGCTGCTCTTTGGAGACATCAGACAGGGCATTTTCTACTCCATGCTTCTTTCCTTCTGGATCATCTTCTGCGGCGAACATCTGATGGTACTGTATTCACCAGACCACGTTTTAAGACTTCCCTATTGGTGCTAGCTGAATTTCACGAGCGGAGTCTCTGAGTTAGCAGCACTTTTTGAACGTCTCTCCTGCAGCCTAATTGACCTGAGAAAATATAGTTTCCATTTTAACTAGGGATGCATGATATAATCGGCCCCCTATCTGTATCGGCCCTAAAACTGAATATCGGACATCGGCCACCCCACCGATATTTAACCCGATATTTGATCAGCTTCTGAGTTTCTAAAGTCTAAAAACAAAAACAAAAATAAATACTACTTCTTCTTCTTCCTCAAAAACTTCTTTTTTACAGACTTAAAAACTTCTAAAGATGAGGGAAAAATATTGATACATTAAAATATCCCAATATCTTCTTATGCTGATATATTGCCATTTAAAAACACCATATCAATCTCTTTTACTAATGAAATATTGCTATATGTCATCGTTATGCTACGAAATCCCCCGAAAATTCACCAAATGTTGCCATATTTTTATATGTCGATATATTGACGCGGTATCGATCTATTTTACTAACAAAATCTCACAAGAATTTGCAAAATATAACGAGAGTTTGTAACAGAACAATGAAATTTCACCAGATTTTGAAAGTAAAATAGATCGATACCGCGTTTTTAAAAATCTATTTGATATCAGATGTCAGAAATGGATAACAAAACTGCTATTTTCAATGACTACTTATTTTTGTCCAGCTTTAACATCGGTATCGATATCGGTTATCGGCTACATGAGTTTTAAAATATCGGCATATCGGATATCGGCCAAAATCCCAATATTGTGCTTCCCTAATTTTAACAGCTGCTTGAGGCATCAAAGGTATTAATGTTTATTACTCCAGTAGTAAAGTATAAATCCTACTGTTTGAAAAAACACTTTTGTAGAAGTTAGAGGATCAACTTAAGCTTTTTACTCCAGTAAAAGTGTAAAAGTACCATTTTTGAAATGACTTAAAGTATGAAAGTAAAAGTAATGCAGGAAGGACAGAAGCTTTACTGCTCTACTTTATTAAAGGAAAATTTTTCTACAGTTCTGCATGATAACTTCCTTAGACTTCATTTTCTTAGTTTTCTAAACCCGGGCATACATGGTGTAGAGTACAGGGGGTAACGTGGGGCGATCAGCCTCTAATGGCTGCCTCCTCATCAGGAATCGAAGGTCGGGCCGTCGTAATGTGGTCGTGAGCAAATCGCTCAGAGGGTAAACAAGGATTCTTCTTCTTCTCAGATGAAAACACAGAAGCATGGCGGGGGTGCAATGTTTGTTACGTCTTTTCTTTTTAGGGCTTTCAGCACTAAATCGCACAAATAGCCAAGGCAGCGCGTTTCACATATTCCTCTTCTACTGGTTTGGCTTCCGGATAGACGAGTCCGAGTGGCGCCATCTCACTGCGGAGTAGAGACTGACACGGGAGTGGATTTTCACTCCTGTCCCGTCCCACTCCCACAGAAAAAAATGGTGTCCCGTCCCGATCCCGGGCCAGAGTAGAAATCTAAATCCTGTCCCGTTCCACTCCTGGTGAAATTACAACGGGTGTTGATTTTCCAGCGAGGCTCCCCCCAGAGGGCGAAAGTAAAAGTGCACTGTCGTAAATATGCTCAGATGTTCTCCTGGTTTCTCCGTCAAGCCAGGCGCGGTTGTTTTGAGCTTAGCAGACAGGCGAACGCAACGAATCACCATGTCTACTGCGGTAAGTGACTATTTTGTTCCAGTTTTCGAGTTTGAAAATTTAGCATGTTTTCATACGTTATTTTCTCGCTGGTTCCGCCATGATAACTGCACAAATATCGCCACTGCACTAGCAACGAGCATGCCTTTCACTGGGGGCGTGTAGCAGTTCTCGCCGTAAAGCAAGACTGACTCTGGCGAGACTTCTGAGCCTGTGGGTGCGGGCCGAGGTCTCCTGCAATTGCAAGTACGGTATTTCCCCTACAGACCACCAGGGCGGCCGAGAAAACCTTTGTTCCACCTGAAATGACTCATTTAATCATCCAAAACGTTATGGAACACATTAATTAACTGGAAAATGTTGCATAGTATGCCTTTAAGTTCCTGTTTCTAACTGTAGTAAAGGTCAGTTAAAGTAAAAGGAATAATAATTATAAATACATAATAAAAGTAGCAAACAAGGAAACAGACCATGCTTATCTTAGGTGAATAAACAATCAAACCTTTTGAAGTCGAGTTCGCCACTAACTGTTGGTCCCTCCATTGTTGTTTTTGAGCGTGGGTGAAAAACTCAGAGCGGAAGCACTGTTGGTTTTTGGGTCGTGTAGTTTTCTTTGACTCGCATTATAGTGTAGGCTTCAAGGAAAAAAACTACAAAATGGCGGCGCCAGTACTGGATTTTTTTTCTTTCTATTTTATTTTATATTTTTGGCATCTATCCTAGTTTTTATTAGTTACTAGGGATGCACGATATCGGGATTTTGGCCGATATCCGATATGCCGATATTTTAAAACTCATGTAGCCGATAACCGATATCGATACCGATGTTAAAGCTGGACAAAAATAAGTAGTCATTGAAAATAGCAGTTTTGTTATCCATTTCTGACACATTGAAAAATAATATACTCAAATATATTTTCATATGCTGATATCAAATAGATTTTTAAAAACGCGGTATCGATTTATTTTACTTTCAAAATCTGGTGAAATTTCATCGTTCTGTTACAAACTCTCGTGATATTTTGCAAATTCTTGTGAGATTTTGTTAGTAAAATAGATCGATACCACGTCAATATATCAACATATAAAAATATGGCGAAATTTTGTGAATTTTCGGGGGATTTCGTAGCATAAAGATGACATAAGGCAATTTACTGTGCATAATTTTCCAGATATGAATGGGCAGAAAGAAAAAAACCTGATTTTTAAAAAAAATCACTTTCCCTCTGTCTTATCGTAAGGTGGCAAATCTGGGGACATCTCCAGCTTGTTGATAAAAAGCAATACATCTTATCAAGATGAATTAGGAATCTGGGAAGGTAATGGTTTCGTTTATTAAAATTTAAACATAAAAAATCAGGTGTAAAAGCCAGGAATATGCCTCTTTACACTGTTAGTATTTCCCAATATTATTAGAATGAATAAAATTAGGGATGCACGTTATTGGGATTTTGGCCGATATCCGATATGCCGATATTTTAAAGCTCATGTAGCCGATAACCGATATCGATACTGATGTTAAAGCTGGACAAAAATAAGTAGTCATTGAAAATAGCAGTTTTGTTATCCATTTCTGACACATTGAAAAATAATATACTCAAATATATTTTCATATGCTGATATCAAATAGATTTTTAAAAACGCGGTATCGATCTATTTTACTTTCAAAATCTCGTGAAATTTCATCGTTCTGTTACAAACTCTCGTGATATTTTGCAAATTCTTGTGAGATTTTGTTAGTAAAATAGATCGATACCGCTTCAATATATCAACATATAAAAATATGGCAACATTTGGTGAATTTTCGGGGGATTTCGTAGCATAACGATGACATATAGCAATATTTCATTAGTAAAAGAGATTGATATGGTGTTTTTAAATGGCAATATATCAGCATATGAAGATATTGGGATATTTTAATGGATCAATATTTCTTCCCTCGTCTTTAGAAGTTTTTAAGTCTGTAAAAAAGAAGTTTTTGAGGAAGAAGAAGAAGTAGTATTTATTTTTTTTTTTTAGACTTTAGAAACTCAGAAGCTGATCAAATATCGGGTTAAATATCGGTGGGGTGGCCGATGTCCGATATTCAGTTTTAAGGTCGATACCGATAGGGGGCCGATTATATCGTGCATCCCTATTAGTTACTATTGGTTTGCTCCCGCTCCCGTCTTTTTCCGTTAATGTTTAATCCTGTACCGCCCCAATCACGTGATCGTTACCAATACTGACTCCCATATTAGTATTTTTTTTGTACAGCTAGACAACGCACCATCAGGCTGAAAGTCGGGCCGATCGAAGAATTCTCGCATGACTTTAAAATATGCACGAAATGGGAAAAGATTTGTGCAGTGTACATCCGGCTTTAGGAGAGCTATCTCTTGTTTTTTTTATTTGCGCTGCAGCAGAGCGCAGTTCTCAATCTGCAGAGCCTCTCTGCTCTCCTCTTCACAGTTCAGCAATTTTAAAATGATTTTCATAAAATGATCCGTGCATTTAAACATACTTTAGCTTAAATAAAATAATACTCAGATTTTATAATTGTTACACTGCAAAAATGATCTCAAAATGAGTAAACATGTCTTAAATTAAGGGTATTTACTCTTAATTTGAGCAGGTAAATAAGATGATTTGCCAATTGAATGAATACTTTTACTCTTAAAATAAGGTATCTTGATATTATGTACTTGAAATAAGACTAATTGTTTTTTCATATTTTAAGTGTAAATTGTCTTGTTCCATTGGCAAGGTGTTTCACTTAAATCCTTAATTCAAGAAAAAATGCACTTATTTTAAGAAGAAAAGACTTATTTAGATTAAATTTTTTTGCATTGTTATAAACATTTGAAGACGGCCAATGTGACCTTATTACATTATAATGGGTACGGCTGTGATTTATAGATGGATTGATGAAGGCTTGCATCTGAAAAACGTTCTAAGCTGCTAATGAATGTTCTTCCTGTTGAACATTTTGCAGCGCTGCTATGATTCTCCTGTCTTTACTCGCCTCATGGGCCTCATGTTCTTCATTTATTTTCAAAGTTAGTTTACAAAACGAAATTTGAAAAAAAAAAAAAAGATTTTTGTGTTTTCATTGTTGGTTTAAGATTGAAAAAAGAAACAATTAATAATACACAGATTAAGGGAACTTTATACATTTTTTTTAAAATAACATTTTATTAAATTCATTTATTTCTATAGCTCCAATTCACATCATGTCATCTCAAGGGACTTCCCAGTTCACCAGATCATCCAGTCAGATTGATTCAAAGTTCCAGTAAAGCAAAGTCCCCCCCACTAAGCATGCTTGTGGCGACAGTGGAGAGGAAAACTCCTGTTTAACAGGAAGAAACCCATGTCAGGATTAAAAGAGCACATCCAGTCAGTCACAGTCAGAGAAACAGGATTGCACTGAAACACAATACAAGATAGAGCTTTCTAATTTGATTTGAAAACAAACAAAAAAAAAAGAAAAAAAAATTGTTTGATTTTGAAAAAGAATGAACCGTAAAGCGTTATAGTTGGTCCGAACTTGTGACAGTGATAATAAAAAGCAGATTTAGTTAGAAAACAGATAAATGTGCAGTACTTCAGGGTGAAAACATCCTATTTTATTTGCTTTTCTCTTTCCTCTCAGGACCAGACGGAGAGAAACCGTTTCTCAGTTTACTGGAAGCAGGTCGGCCCCATTGTGTTTGGTTCTTGCTGCCTGTTTATCTTCGACATGTGTGAGAGGTGCTGAAAAGACTTCTTTATTCCTCAGCTTTCCCTTTAAAGCCTAATATTATTTTTATCATTGTTGAAAATTGTCAGCTTTACAGCAGACATCAATGGTTTTCTCTTGTGTCTCTAGAGGCGTCCAGCTGACCAATCCCTTCTACAGCATCTGGGCCTCGGATGTAGGAACGGAGCTGGCTGTATCCTTTCTGCAGGACTCTCATAGGTCCCTGGAACTTTGGGAATTTGAAAAAACTGTATTTTCACGACCATAAGGCGCACCGTACTAAAAGGCGCAGTCTCAGTTATGCGTGCCATTTCTGTATTTAACACACACATAAGGCGCACCGTACTAAAAGGCGCGGGTTTTATATACCGCTACATATCCTCTACTACGTTTAAATACCTCTACTGCATATTTAAAAATAGAGCGGCAGCAAAATTGAGTATGTTTGTGCTTTATTCATGTATTTATTACAAAGTATTAATCAAACCTGGGAGCTGGCCATGAGACATTCCTATTGTCGGTGCACCGCTGGTATGTGGGGGTCTGAGCGCCTCCAACAGAAATAGTATAGAAGGATGGTAATCTGGATGAACTGACTGCAATTAATAAGTTTTCAGGTGGATTTACTCACTTAAAAACATATTAAAACTACTTTATTCCCACTGATCACAGCAAAGATAGCTGCAAGGTGCATTTATCACAAAGTATTATTCAAACCTGGGGGCCGGCCGTGAGAGACACATCGCTGATGACACAGGGCTGTGATCACTCCTCTGAAACAGTTTATTGACGCATAAATTAACTTAAAATCCTGAAACCTGCCGACAGAATATGTTCGCTTTTATTATCCTATTATCCTTTTATAATCCTTTAGATTATTTAGATGAAAAACACCTGCCAGCCGCCGCGGTGAACCCGGAGGCGACCCGGCCCAGAGCCTGCTGTTGAATTAAGTTTTCAGGTAGAAAAATAGAGCGGGAGCAAAACTGAGTATGATTGTGCTTTATTCAAGTATTTATTACAAAGTATTAATCAAATCCATCAAAGTCATCATCCTCTGTTTCTGAGTTAAACAGCTGCTCTAAATCAAACATGACAATTTCCCCTTCTTCGCTGTCAGAGTCACTTTCCGTGCCGTGCGGCTCCTCGGAAATGATGCCGGCTTTTGCGAAAGCTCGAACTACGGTGCCAGCAGAGCTGCCTTCCACTTTTCGTGGAATTATTCTGCTGGCAGAATATGTTCGCTTTTATTATCCTGCTGCTTCATTTTTGCTGCTTGTACCAGTTTAGTTCTGACGCGCGGCTGAAGCAGCTTTGCTGCTCTGGCTGCGCGGTGCAAAAGTGTGTCTGACGCGCGTTGGGTGGAGCTTCACTATCCTTTCTCTGCCTTGCAGCTATATTTGCTGTCCAACAGCAAAACTTCAATTTTTCCATCTCGAGCAGCAGCAGCGCGTTGGCGGAGCGTCAGATGCTTAAACGTATGATTGCCATATAAACGCTCCGACGCGCTGCGCCTGCTGCTAAAAAACGCGCTGCGGGACCTTTTGCTGCGTCTATACGCGCGTCAACCATTGACTTTGCATGTAAACTCGCTGCTTCTGCTGCGTCCGGTTCACACCGATGTCGAGCGGTTGAAGTTCCTTTGTCAGACCTCCCGCAATAAGCACAGCGTTCATTTGTTTCACCATGTTTTTCACATCAGCTGTGAGATGGAGTCCCAGATTACCAGAGATGGTGATGAGTGAGAAAAAAACCACCTGGTCTCCTTACATTCAGCCACTCTTTCATCATCTCCTCAATGAGGGGGTCTCAAAAGTCCGCAGTAACAACACACATAGGGCGCACCGCACCAAAGGGCGCGCCGCACATTTTGAGGGGAAAAAAAGAGTCTTAAAAAGAAAATACGGTACCTGGCAATTTTTTTTTCTTTTTGAAAATGGCAAAAAAAAAATCCATCCTTGATTTACTTTTATTCGTTTAATTTGCTTTGTATGATGATTTTTGATGTTTCATATACATAGTTGGTGCGTTTCACACTAAGCATGCTTGTAGCGACAGTGGAGAGGAAAAACTCCCTTTGAACAGGAAGAAACCTCCAGCAGAACCAGGCTCAGTGTGAGCGGCCATCTGCTGAGGCCCACTGGGGTTAGTACCTGAATTGGGACTTGCCATGTAGCTTGTTGTTTCTTGCTCATCTTGAAGACATTTTTTAAGTTTTTGGGGGGTATTTTCATGACTTGATAAAATAATTTGTTCTATTGCACTAAAATAATGTGCAAGTAAAGTTTCTCATGACAAAAATTGGAATTTAAAGCTTAGAAAGATATAAAGCGTTGCATATTGATACTAGCTCTTTAAATCCTTGACCAGTGCTTCCTCAGATGTCCTTCATCATCGTAGCAGGAATCTGTGCTTGTCTCTACTTCCTCTTCCTCTGCTTTATGGTGTTTCAAGTCTTCCGTAACATCAGCGGCAAAAGGACGTCCCTGCCTGCCATGTCCAAAGCCAGACGCCTGCATTATGAGGTACGTTAGATTCTGCTCTGATTTTATCTCCGGGGTCTTTAATGAAGCCGTACGAACATCAACGCGCCGAAAATGACCAAAAACTGACCATTTTGGCCAGTTTCAGTCTACAAACTGACCAAAAACTGACCATTTTGGCCAGTTTCAGTCTACAAACCGACCAAAAACTGACCATTTTGGTCAGTTTCAGCCTACAAACTGACCAAAAATGGCGACTCTAGCTATAAATGTGTGGCCGTGAGGGCGAGTTTAAAATGTTTTTTGGTCTTAAAAAAACGGCCGCCTCACATTCTAGCATTTCAGTTCCTCCACTCTAGCAGGCTGGATTTTGCTAAAACGTTGTGGCGCTTGAGGTCTGATTATACAAAAACCGTAGCAGTTATCAACATGCCGTCTTCAGTTTTATACAGACGAAGGATTTATCTTCAAACTGAGCTTCAAACTGTTTTTCTACGTGACTGTATCGCTGTTTTCTATGCTTTTTTTTTTTCCCCTCTCCCCATTCATTTCCTATGGGATTTTTTTGCGACGTTTTCACTAATAATTCGCAAACCTTCGGACTAATGAGAAAGTTATATACAAGCACGCATCGCACCATTGGTCCCGACGCGTGTGCCAACTTTGGGCCCGATGACCTTTTGAAACTATTTTGGAGAAACTTGGAAAGTTATGTGATGGTTTTATCGACTTCTAAATGATCAATACAAAACAACTCTGTTAAGAATAGAATATTCTCTCTATAATAGAGCTGCATGGTGACCAGTTAGGCTTTAACACTGAAATCCTTTCTCTGTTTTGCCAGATATTAACTGTTTGGGATAAATATAATTTATTTTTTTTCCAGGGCCTGATTTTCAGGTTCAAATTCCTCATGCTGGTGACTCTAACCTGCGCCGCCATGACCATCATCTTCTTTATCATCAGCCAGGTGAGCCTTTGTGACGGAGGCTTTTATTTAGATTAGATTAGATTCAACTTTATTGTCATTACACAGGTGCAGGTACAAGGCAACAAAATGCAGTTTAGGTCTAACAAGAAGTGCAAAAGCAGCAAGTGCAGGATGAATAATGGCTCCATAAATATAGAACATGGTTTCTACTGAATGAGTATAGAGATGAATACTATTATAAATAATGAATATGATATATAGATCACTAGTGTTATGAACTAAATTTACAGCTGGATATGTACTGAATATAATATACAGATGGATATTACTATAAAAAAAGGTTTTTACTATAAAATGAATAAACAGAAGCTAAGTTAAAGTGCAGTGGAAGGTAATTGAATATTACAGTTAAAGTACGTTTTTGCAGATGTAAATGTAAACAATCGGTGCTGTGAATAAACAGCCGGCAGTGCAAATCAATAATCAGTCAAAGTGAGTAGTGCAAGATGCATATAAAGAGTTGTTACTATAGTAACAGGAGTAGGGATGCACAATATAATCGGCCCCCTATCGGTATCGGCCTTAAAACTGAATATCGGACATCGGCCACCCCACCGATATTTAACCCGATATTTGATCAGCTTCTGAGTTTCTAAAGTCTAAAAAAAAAAAAAATACTACTTCTTCTAGTGATGCACGATATTGGGATTTTGGCCGATATCCGATATGCCGATATTTTAAAACTCATGTAGCCGATAACCGATATCGATACCGATGTTAAAGCTGGACAAAAATAAGTAGTCATTGAAAATAGCAGTTTTGTTATCCATTTCTGACACTTTGAAAAATAATAAACTCAAATATATTTTCATATGCTGATATCAAATAGATTTTTAAAAACGCGGTATCGATCTATTTTACTTTCAAAATCTGGTGAAATTTCATCGTTCTGTTACAAACTCTCGTGATATTTTGCAAATTCTTGTGAGATTTTGTTAGTAAAATAGATCGATACCGCGTCAATATATCAACATATAAAAATATGGCAACATTTCGTGAATTTTGGGGGGATTTCGTAGCATAACGATGACATATAGCAATATTTCATTAGTAAAAGAGATTGATATGGTGTTTTTAAATGGCAATATATCAGCATATGAAGATATTGGGATATTTTAATGGATCAATATTTTTCCCTCGTCTTTAGAAGTTTTTAAGTCTGTAAAAAAGTTTTTGAGGAAGAAGAAGAAGTAGTATTTTTATTTTTAGACTTTAGAAACTCAGAACGATGAAATTTCGCGAGATTTTGAAAGTAAAATAGATCGATACTGCGTTTTTAAAAATCTATTTGATATCAGCATATGAAAATATATTTGAGTATATTATTTTTCAAAGTGTCAGAAATGGATAACAAAACTGCTATTTTCAATGACTACTTATTTTTGTCCAGCTTTAACATCGGTATCGATATCGGTTATCGGCTACATGAGTTTTAAAATATCGGCATATCGGATATCGGCCAAAATCCCAATATCGTGCATCCCTAGTCCGGAGTGCAGGTGAACTTTACAGTCTTTAAAAAAAAAAACAAAACAGAATAGCATTTTTATCTTCATAGAACGTCATTGAAAGTGTTCCTGGTTTGTTTCCAGGTGAACGAGGGTCACTGGCACTGGGGGGATTACACGGTGCAGATAAACAGTGCCTTCTGCACTGGAATCTATGGAATGTGGAACCTGTACGTCTTCGCCATCATGTTCCTGTATGCACCTTCGCACAAACGCTACGGAGACGAGCAGTCCAGTGGTCAGTGCATCACGGGTAACTATGTGCTCTGAACTCTGACAGTGATTTGGATTAATGGGGTGGGGGGGGGTGTTAAAAAGTATCACTAAAGCTGTAGGGGGGGGGGGGGGGGGGGGGGTAAAGACGGCTCTTTGGCTTCAGACGGTGATGCTGATGGAGGCTAGGCTCGCTTCCAGTGCGGAGGGGAGGGGAGGGGGGAGAAGTGCGAGGAAGTAATGAAAACCATCCATCCATCCCGTCTGAGACGAGCGGAAAGTGCTGGAAGTTTTGGAAGCTCTTTTCAAACTCGGCTCGTGTTTAAGCTGGAAGTGTTTATGCAAATGGGAACCAGTAAAGCTGCCTGGTTTGCAGGAAGTTGCTGCTAAAAACAGAAGATAATCCAGAAACTGATGCATATCTGTAGCTCTTTCACTCACAGACCTCTTGTTTCCTGTCGTTTAGACCGGTTTAAAGCAAAAACCTTTTAAATGTGGTGTAAGTTTATTTGCCCCCCCCCCCCTCTGCACCACCAGTCCCCAAAACAGAGGCTCACTACTAAGAGCTTCCTATTGGCAGCAATTCCTGCAGCGCCGACTCACTCAGGCTCATATTCACTGCAAAAATCATCTAGAAATAAGTAAAAATTTCTCAAATTAAGTGTATTTACCCTTGATTTGAATGGGTAAATTTGATAATTTGCCAATGGAATGAGTATTTTTACCCTTAAAATAAGATAATTAGATAAAATGCACTTGAAATAAGACAATGCAAATGTGTTTTCTTATTTTAAATCTAAATTGTCTTGTTCCTTTGGCAAAATGTCTCTTTAATCTCCTCAATTTAAGAACAAATGCACTTATTTTAAGAAAAACTGACTTTTCTAGATTTTGATTTTTTCCAGTTTTGGATCATAAACTGTTTTTAAAGCCACAGAAAAGCCGTTTGATTTGAGTTTGGACTTTGACTAGGACATTTTGTGTTTCTTTTTCAGGTAAATTCCTGTTTTTAAAATGTAAAACATCTAAATTTTTTGTTTTTGAGGTGTTTTATATTCTAACAATAAAAAAGACGGGCGGTGACGGCTGACGGCTTTTTTCTTTTTCCATCTTTGAGAATAAAATGGAGTGAACAGAGTTTGGAAATGGAAAAAAAAAAAAAACAATGCAATTTAGAAATTTTACTTTAAAAAGTGGCTTCAAACAAAACAATGTTTAAGAATAACCTCAGATTTTATTTTAAATTACATAGCTTTTCAGTTTTTCTTTGGATTAAATTTTTTGATTTTACAGATTTTCATATTTCAAATGTCCTATTATATACAAGAGGTGTGTGTGTATATATAGAGAGAAATAGATAGAGATATTTGATAGATAGATATAGATAGATATTTGATAGATAGATATTTGATAGATATATATATATATATATATATATATATATATATATATCTATAGAGAGAGAGAGAGAGAGATAGATAGATATTTTATATAGAGAGAGATAGATATTTGATATAGAGAGAAAGAGAGATAGATATTTGATAGATAGAGAGAGAGATAGATATTTGAGATATATATATATATATATATCTAATTTTCATCATTTTAGAAAAAAAAATTTCATCAATATATACATAAAATGTTCTTTGCAACAATAATGGAGCAAAGTTCTCTCCATACTTGTTGACGGTTTAGTTCATCTCTGAACACAGCTGCTAACATTGAACTTATTTACAGGTATCAGAGTAAAGTGGGTTTAACACAAACATGTTTTTTAATTCTAAAAGTTTCTGAAGGATTTCTTTTCTCCAGATTTAAAAATCCTCAATGTTGGTTGTGATGATCTGTGTCCAGGTGACGGCGGCGCCGCCAGCGGAGAAGACATCCAGCTGACCACCACCATCACCCACGTAGACGGACCCACTGAGATCTACAAAATGACCGGGAAGGAGGCCCAGGAATAGTTGACACCGTCCGAGACACCGCCCGCTACCTTCGCTTTGACGTCCCGCCTCCCTGAGCGCCAACAATCCACCTGTCAGAGCTGCACTCATCACAGATCCTCCAGCCGGTCCAGGTGGCGCCCCTTTCCTAACCTCCACGTCGGTCCTCTTGATTTCAGACGACTTGCTGTCGAATTTCCTTCTAGATGTTCACTGTGGTGTTTTTTTTAAATGTTGCACAATGCCTTTGAGACGAAGCTGGGTACAGAAAAAGCTGCTTTGGATGGATTTTAAAGAGGTAGGATGCTTTATGTTGCAGCCGTCAAAACCTCCAGATTGTTTTTAGGTTGTTTGCAGAGACTTGAAGAGTTTAAAGGATGAACGGAGACGTTTCAGCGAACGCCCGCCTACTTTTATCCAAGCTCTTAGAGCTGTCACTACAGTCTGTTTGTTTTTTTTGAATTTCTGTTTTTTTTTTATCACTGTACGCTGGACTTTTACTACTTTGGTAAAATAATTTACATTTATTATGTTACAATGTAGATATCCATTTTTTTTTTTTTATATCCAAGTCCTTATTTTTATCTTCCCACACTGTCGGTACCAAGCTCTGAATGTCGGACGTTGATCATAGCCTTCTACCCTCTGTATTTAGTTTAGCCATTTTCTTTTTTTATGCGTATTTAAATAAACTCATTATCAATATATTCTCTCATGTGATCCTTTTTTTTCCACTTATGTAGGGAATAAACCCTGTTGAGCTCTAAAAGGAGAAAATTCTGTTTTTTAATCTCAAATAGTTCACTATTTAAATATTTGATCTGATTTAAAGGGTGGGGGTAAGGCGCCCTCTTGTGGCTACAAATAGAACTGAGGCGCTAAAACTGGAATTCATGAAAATAACTTACCAGAGGGTTAAAAACTAAAGTTTAAGACATGTTTTCAGCTATTTTACTATTGGTGACATGTTAGAAAGCAGAGTTGCATTAAATTAAACTTTAATTAAAATATAGATAAAATATGCTGCCATTTGATCTGTTATTAGAGATCATCAGGCTGTTTGTGCTGCAACTACATCCCTGATGTTCATCTAAAGACACTTTAAAAGATTCATTTCTTAATTTCTGAGTCTCTTTTTATTAAAAAAATATTTTTATACTTTAAGGATTTTTCACTCTGATTCTGGCTGTTGAAGTTAGCATCTGATTTGCAGTTTTTCACTTTTTTGCACTTTAGTTGTTTTAAAGATTAAATTCAGCTCATGTTCAAAGCCTTTAACCCTTTATGAGGAATTAAAAGTATTAAGGCTGAAGCAATTAATCCATTATGTGGTTAATCAATTATTGAAATACTCGTCAACTAATTTAGTAATGGATTAATCGTTAACTAGAGACTGTAAATCATACTTTTAGTTGACATAGCGACACCTAGAGCAGGAATTATACTAACATTGTACAGAAATATGTAAACATTTTGCATTAAAAAAAAATCTGTTTCCCTCTATCTGTCCAGAACTCCTCAAGTGTGAAAAGTTTTAGTTTCACCTGCTTTAATTTAGTAAGAAGTCTTCTTCAGGGAGCCTTCTGCTACTCCATTATTAATCGATTAAGGACAGATCCTAATATATCTGCACTGTGGGGATTTTAAATCGGATAGCAATTAAAAAATAAAAATCCTATTTTGCACAATTTGCTTAACTAAGTATTTTTTGTTGTGTGTATATATATATATATATATATATATATATATACACATATACATGTTGGGGCGACAGTGGTGTTGGATGTAGGAGTTTGCCCTGAAATCAAAGGATTAATGGTTCAAGCCCCAGCTCCAACATTCAGTGTCGTTGTGTCCTCGGGCAAGACACTTCCCCTGCATTGTCTACTGATGGTGGTCAGAGGGCCCGGTGGCGCCAGTGTACGGCAGCCCCGCTTCTGTCAGTGAGCCCCAGGGCAGCTGTGGCTACAATGTAGCTTGCCACCATCAGTGAATGGGTGAATGAATGTAGTGTAAAGCGCTTTGGTCAAGTCTCCTGACTTGAAAAAAGGCGCTATATAAGTACATGCCATTTACCATTAGAGATTTTGCAGATCTATTATTTATACATACATTGTTTAGATTTATTTATATCTTTCTACCCTTTTAATAGAATAGAATAGAAAATTCCTTTATTGTCCCATAATGGGGAAATTCTGGCGTTTATAGCAGCAAAAAGATTATAGAAAAAATGGTCACACAAATGTCTTTTTTTTTTTTTTTCATTTATTGTTTATTTGAAAGGGGACAGTGTACATTAATAAACATTAAAGCTATGTAAATATATCCGAGTTAGCTAAGGAGCGCTAATTTTCATCGGTAGTCCCCCAGCCAGATATTAAAAAGGCAACCTTAAAAATAAACACAAGTATAAAATCACAAGATTAAATTACAATACCAATTACATAAAAAGATTATGGTTAAGAAGTAAAATGATTAAAAATTAATTGTAAAATTATTTAAATACACACTAAAAACCTTAGTGCCCACCAATGCCATTTTTTTGCATTCTTTTTGAATGAAGAGAATGACAAAGAGTCTCTGATGGTTTCTGGCGCTGTGTTCCATTGCTGAGATGCTCCTACGGAGAAGACAGCCCGACCAAAGGCTGTTTTTCTCCGGGGGATGATGCCGTCTTCCCTCACTGCCCCTCTGGTTACCCTGACCTCACTGGATCTGAACTGTACAAAGTCACATAGTGGAGGTGCTGCTAAACCATGTCTGATTTTATAAATTAAACAGATATTTTTGAACTTGATAAGATTGTTCCAGGCGAGTAACTGATATTTCCTCAGAGTACTACAGTGATGGTAATGGTATGGTTTTTTATCCAGTATTTTTAATGCTTGTTTATATAATGTTTCTAATGGTTTTATTGTAGTAGAGTGAGTATTGGACCAACTTATTATACAATATGTTATATGGGATAAAATCATGGAGAAAAAATATGATTTAGCAGCTTCAGTTGAAAGAAAATCTCTAATGAATCTGAGGTTTGCTAAACTAAACTTAATCCTATTACACGTGGACCTTAGAAAAATGTCTAAGAATAACATAATAGGGAAGAGTTAAAATATAAACAATATAAAACTGGAGAATTAATAACCAATATGCAGCTATGGACATTTTTCCAGCAATTGATATTTGAAAATAGCAGCAACATCAGAGATGTGCAGAATGACAGCAGCAGGTTATTTAACTGACTAAGGTTTAGATCATTACATTTGATTTGATTTGTTCCTGCTCTCGGTGGTTGGAACCTTTATTCCACTCTGGATTCTTGTGAGTGTAGTCTTTGTCCACTTTATAATAAAAAAGTAAGAAACAAACAGTTTTGAAAGCTTCAGTATTCATTCCTTTCCTGCTTTGTGTGTCAACTGTTACGATCTGCCGTAGGGTAGACCTGTTTGGATTTGCAGCCAAAACTCTTCCGGTCTCGGACTTCCAAGGATCCAGTCCAGGTAGACCGGGTCCTTGGAGGACGCGGCCCAGGAATTCGAACACAGCCTTTGTTGTGGGCCGTTTCCATCTGCTGGTCATGTGGTCTGGGAAAGATATAAAAAACAAAAAATCCAGAAACGAAACTTTGAAAAACCCATTAATCACAAAAAGGCTTTGAAAATAACTTTACAGGTTTGTCTGATTTTATATATTTAAAAAATAACAAAATAAAAATCAGCTATATATATGTTTTCCATCTTATTCTTCCAAAGATCTAATATATATATATAAATCTTTTTAAATGTTCTCTTCTTTCAGATTGACTAGAATGCATTGCATTGTCTTCAAACTATGTTTCAAAGATCACATTCTCTTCATTTTAAAGCGCTCACTGAAGACCAATAGAAATGCATTAGGAGAATACTATCTGCAAAGCGCAATTTGAAAAAAATCCAACGGGATCAAGTCAATCTGAAAAACAGATACCAGGAAATAATTTGTAAAAAAAAAAAAAAAAAAAAAAAAAATCAAAAAGTTAAATCTGAAAATAAAGAAGTGGAAAAATATGAGAAAATAAAAGTTATTAACAAAAATAAAAAAATTAATAATTAAAAACAATCAACTGGTATTTGTTTCCAAGTTTCCATGAAGCTTTTTCAATTCAAAATGTCAGCACTGGAAAAACGATCTACTAATAAGTAGAAATATCTTAAATTAAGTGTATTTACCCTTATTTTGAGTAGGTAAATGAGATAGTTTGCAAATGGAATTAGTATTTTTACTCTTAAAGTAAGATAATTAGATAAAATGCCCTTGAAATAAGACAATGGAATTATGTTTTTTTATTTTTAATGTAAATTGTCTTGTTCCGTTGGCAAAATGCCACTTTTATCTCCTCAATCCAAGAACAAATGCAGGTATTTTAAGAAAAAAAGACTTATCTAGATTTCGATTTTTTTCAGTGCTTTAAGTTCAAGCTTTTATAAAGTAGCCAAACAAAGCCTTGTTTTACTATTAAAACCTTTTTTTTGGATCAAGAAGAAATTTCTGCATTGGAACTTTTTATATTTTTAATTTCAAATGTCAAGGCACGCAATGCGTTCTTTGCTTGCAACAATAATGGAGCAAAATTCCCCCCATATTTCCCAGCCTCTTTGAACGCAGCATGATTCGTTCGGTGACTTTAATCAGACACCAACTTCAGCTCCGCCTGTCTGGAGTTTCGGCTTGTTCCGCCTCTCCGTCAAACCGACAAACATTCGGCAGTTTTCGTTCAAGCGGGGAGAGCAGGAAGACTGATTTATGTTTTGACGCGTCACGGGAGGAGAAAACCTCCACGGTTGGATCATCTACGGCGGCCGAGTAGGGTGGGGAAAAAAAGAGGCGTTTTGGAGAACAGGTGGTTGGAGCCGCGGTGTCCCACCGAGCAGAAAGGAAAAGCTCTCCTCCCTCCCAGCTCCTCCACGGCCACGGCTCCAGTTCCCGGGGGGAACATTAGCGCTCTCTGCTCCGCACAGGTAAGACCGCTGGCCCCCGCCGGGTCCCTCTGGCCCCCGCCGGGTCCCTCTGGCTCCGCAGCAACAGCTGTTCTCCGCTGGCTGCTCTCAGTCTGGGGCCGCTGATGATGGAGATCCTCCGGGTTCGGTTCTGAGGGCCTCCTGCCCCCCGCCCGTCATTAGGACAGAACACAAACCAGCCATTGATTAGGGCCCCTCATTAGTATCCCAATCAGGCCCTTCTCAGTCTCCTCGCATGGGCGGTTCTAGTCAGGGGCCAACGGGGGCCAGTGCCCCTGTAGACATTAGGCTACATTCACACCAAAAGCAGCAGAAGCAGCAAAAACACCCATTCTCCTTCATTTTTGATCGTTTAGTTTAGTTCTGACGCAGAAGAAGGTAGAAAAGTGGGTCTGATGCGCTTTGGGTGGAGCTACCATCCCCTATAGCAGCTATATTTGCTGTGATCAGTGGGTA